CCTGGCCCAGTCTGGGACTGTCCTCCATATCCCCCTGCACTGATCTCTAAGAAGTAATAGGATGATGATGATGATGATGCTGTCTAATATTTATTGAGTGTTTCCTATGTCCAAGTAAGAATACTTTACAGGCATTACATCATTTAATCACCAACAACCTTATGGAGTAAGTATTAACATTCCCAATTTACAGATAAAGAAATACACTCATAGAGTCAAATAACATCATGACCTCATATAGCTAAAAATACCAGAAATGCACTCAGATTAGTCAATCTGATTCCAAAGATCATGTTCTTAACTGTTCCACTAAAATGGTGTACGTTCTTTTGCTGGAATTATTCTAATATGGTATCAGAATTTCAGAGGTTGAAGAGGCCTTAGAGGTAAGATCCCACCAAGAAATTTCCTTCAAAATTTAGTGCCAGGCAAAACAGCTTCTTTTGAAAGACTGCCATTTCCTCCTTTCTGACAACAAGAACCATGTAACTTATCCAGTTTCACTTTTTGTACTACCTACCAGGAAGCTCACAGCCAACTCATAAGTAAAGCTCAGTTATAGAAACCATATTAGTTCTCACGGTTAACATGTTTTCTTTCTATTCCTTTACACTGTCTTGGTCTCCAATTGTAATTTAACAATTGTGTGTATGTTATATTCTCTGCCAGCTCTCTTTTCCCTTCATTTTAATTGGCCCATGTCCTTATCACTTAATGTTTGAGTTATGATAGCCTCCTAGCTGATTGCCACATCTCTCCAATTCTTCTCTCTGTAGACTGTCATAATGATCTTCATACAGGATTCTGATTATATTATCCCCTGCTTAAAAACATAAAGGGCTAGCCATTTCCTATTGGGTCAGAGTCAAAACTCCCTGGAGCATTCACCACCTGCCTTAGCCTCTCTCTCTATGTTCTTTCTAGTTGACCTTTCCACTCATTTAAGCTTTAGACACACTGGCTGACTCACTGCTTCCTGAACATGTCCTGACATTTTCATGCTTCTCTGTCTCTGCTTATATTATCTCTTCCTCTTGCAATGTCTTTCTCCTCATCATCTACCTGATGAATGTTTACCCATCCTTCAGGGACCAGGTCAAATGCCACATTATCTTAATGGCTTTCCATTTACCCCTCCAGGAAGGAACAACTGTTTCCTCATGTCCCTGACTTTAGTCTTTTGCACAGCTCTGCTGTAGTTATTATATCATCTTATAGTTATTTCTTTACAATTTTGTCTGTACCAATAGGCTGAAAGCTATTCTAGGGCTGGGATTATTTCATTCATCTTTATACTCTCTATGCCTGTTGCGTGAAGTATCTAGAACATAACAGGTACTTTGCTTTTTGAACCCAATCAACCAACCAAATAAAAGACTTAATACATGTGATTTGTCAAGATCCCCATACTCAGTATTGGACAACTCAGGTCTAGAATGTCTATCTTCCAGTTTCCAAACTCCTATTCTGGTGTTCTTTGCCAAAAAGTCACCTGGGAAGTTCATTAAAGTATGAATTCCAGGTCACCAATCCTAGAAATTCTTATTGTTTAGGTCTGTGTGGAGTCTTGGAATTAGTATTTTTAAACCAGTTCCCCAGGTTTGGGTATTACCAAGTCTTACACTATGCTCTGCTGCCACTTCTTAATACAAAATAATGATTATTTTGTCCTTAATTTGTTGATTTCATTAGGTATTGGTTATACTTGGGTACAAGCTGATAATTTCAGGCATTCTGAAATGTGCTGTAGATCTGTTATAGATCTAAAATCAACATAGAATTCTGTGAGTTCCTAATGACATTAAGAGGAAGAATGTAAATAGTACACAGTAAAAGACAAAAATTTATAATCTTCAGGAGAAAACTGAAGCAGATGATATATAGCAGAGAAACGCAAATTTAAATTGGTTGTCCTTTTTATT